TACATATGAAATTAACTATGTCGGTATAGTTATGGACGAGTAGAGACATTTAAAGGGTGGTTGCAATTTTTGTCTGGATCTCTCATTGAAACTTCAACATTATAAAGTTGAGAAGTACCTATATTAAAATTTACCTAGTCTAATAAAATAATTATATTATATTACATTAAATGATACATTAGAAATTTACAATCTTAAGATACACAAATTGGCTTTTAGAGTAAAATATAAAAAAATCTTACGCTAGCCACTGAACCATTAAATAATATTCTTACCTTTAAGTGTAATACGTTAATACGCCAATTAATGTTAATATTAAAAACAAAAGTGTAAAATGGACTTTTCTGAAAGTAAAATGTGTCATGTTATGCGTTAGTAAGACGGCATATACATCACATCTATCAATCTAAAACTTCGAATGTATTATTTGATATAAATATATTTTTAATAGGTAGATAATTTTAACAATTATTATTTTAGTAAGTATAAGAACATAAATTATATTTCCCTGACTTAGGTACATTGCATATAATGTTAAATATATAATAATTAATAAATTGCAAGGATCATCAGGCTAATCATTTTTATCAGTATTTTTTTATTTAATTAAAAAAAGTTGGTAATAGTGGATGTCGCTCTGCTGTATAGTAAGTTACAAGTGGGTCAATATTAAGACTATTATGATATTATATTGTACAATGTATACACAGCTAGTGCAATGTATTCAGGATAGTCCGTACCCCATCAAATAGTAATAGTACATTTACCTACACAACTTATATTTTTGTATATATGTGTATTATATTATAATACAAGGCAAGTGAAAGAGATTAGAGAAGATGAAAAATGTATATTATATTAAGAGTTTATAATATATAATACCATCGTTTTACAGCGATCGCAGTTTGACGAACGATTTATTTCTTATCGCAATGTTTAAAACACAATCAAGACACTTGTGGGCCGATATATATTTTATTTAACATAAATATTGTGTATGTTAAGGCACATAATAATATAATATGATGCTATTATTTCAAACCCATTAAATATACGTAGGTATTGTTAGATAAAAACATTCAACGAGTGTACGACGCCATCGTCGTATAACTTAGGTAGGTACCTATAATGTATAAATTATAATATACAACATACATTATGTACATTAACTGTAAATAAACACCGGTCAAAGAAGACCAAGTCGAAAAGTTTATTTGATATGATAACATATTATTGCATATTATTATTAATTATTAGTAACCAAAAATAAGCAGTTACTAGAAGTTACGTATCAGATGAGTATAGGGCTGGACCAGTGACGTATTTACTTGGAGGATCAAGGGGATCAACTCCCCCATAGGCTGTATATAATATTCAAAAGTTTTTGAAGTTCTAACTTAAAGCCTCTAATAACATCAAAGACGGAACTACTGGGTAAAATCATATCCCCCCCACCCATTAAGACAAAAACCTAAATACGCCAAACGACTGGACATTTTATGCCCTACAAAAAATTAAGAAAATTACCTATACAGAATGCATAAAAGCCCTACACTTATACAACTCACTCAACAACTATAACATTAGGTATGCAAGAAATATATTATTTTAGTTTTCTAAATTGTTTGCATTGATAGTAGAATAATTAAATTATGTTATTGTTATATAAAATTAGGATTTGTTAGAGTCTTGAAATACATTTTTGGATTTTGAGCACAGTGATGAGTATAATTATTGATTTTACTACGATGGGTGTTTACTACTGAACATTAGGTATATGAAAAGTATATTAACATTATTGTGTAGCGAATTGGTGTACAAACCGCATACTGCCGCGACATTTGCTAATTCGTCGACCAGGTTAATGATCTGCACCAAGAAGAACAGAGCAATGGTTGATTTAAATAGTTTAACGCAACTTCTACGTGTTCTATAAATACGCATACCTAGCAATTAAAAATCACGAGATTGGGAAGTAGTGATCTGATGAATTTCCAACTAACTATACAGACATCTGTTCGTGAAATCAAAAATAAGACTTGTGCAACGGGAACTTGTCAGTATCACCATTCACCGCAGAACCACCAACACCACCAATCCTTTCCTTGTGGTCATTAAACGAAAAAAGTTCGGCAAACCATAAACTTTTATTAGGTGGTTATTATATTAAGCGGATTTGTGATTTATATCAAACATTAGAACATTGGAACTCGGGATAATGATCTGGTTCAGTTTAACTCAGTGGTATTGGAAAACAGTGAAACATTAAATATATAAAGAAATATGTTTTCCCAGCCTCCCTAGAAATATTTTTACACATAATTTAATCTGGATATTTTGAGTGGATGACAGATTTTATTTTAAAGATGGTTTGAACTTTAGAAATTATATTACCCAATGCCACATAAATGTATGTTACATACCTACCTAATTTATAGTAATTATAATTATTATAATATTAGTGACGGTGTCAGGGTAATCAACTCGATAATTAATGGGAATTAATTGTGAACTGGATACTTCCAAAAAAAATCATTTTGATGGGGGAGGGGGGAGGTAATTGTCGTTAACTTCCTGACAGTGATGTTTCACTATAATATCCATTACCACTGCATTGATCTGGATTAGATCGTCCGTTACATATGTTATATCGACTAAGCAATGCTCTAACAGTCTAACTGTTGCACGTTTCCATTACCGCAATTATTTTCTTTTTCGATTTCCGTTCGATAGACGCTGTTGGCTTGTGAGACGTTTTGACATTTTCAAGGTCACTTTTGTTGGTTCCACTGTGTCATCAGCTGGTTCCCCCGAGTGAACCAGTCAAGGCCGTGTTTACACTTTTTGCCCCCTGGGTCAACCATATTTGTACGTCCGCACCCACCACACAAAGATCCCTTTTAAAAAATTTTTTATGAATTTTTTAGTTATATTTCTTTATTTATCTATAGTTTGTTAATTATACAGATAATGATATTAATTTTTTTTTTAATTGTTATTAAAATGTGTAACAACATAATACTATGTTATAAAAAATTACAAAAATCAATACAATATATATTTATCAGTGGAGTATATAGAAATAATTTTTGGGGTGGGCTATAGTAGACAGAAACTAGCAAGTGATATATTAATTATAGGCTACTATATATTTAACAGTTTCTAATTTCTATAAATATATTCGTATTTATTATTTTTCAACAGGCTATGAAATATTATAACTTATAATAGTACCTACCTAATAAATTAATATATTGTTGTTCTATTTAAAAAGACTGTGATTTCGTGGGGGGGGGGCTGCAGCCCACTGTGCCCACCCCTATATACGCCACTGATGTTTATGGCATATCGCATATGTCCCCATTGCCCCACTTAAATACGGCCCTGGCAGCAGTCATCCCGACATAAGGGTCTTGTGTTCTATTTACCGAACAGCTGTAGTCTAGAACAGCAGTAGCATAGGCGCATAGCTTCGGAACAGGGTTATAAAGAAATGAGATAGTCGATTCAGATTCTAGATGCACTTACTTTCAATTACATGCATAACTTAATTGATTTTTTTGAACTGTAAATGGCCGAGAAATAAACTACATTTGGCAAATTCATTCCATCTGCTGTGTCTGATGGAACAATTGAAATGTGAAGCACCAGTATCCACTGATTTTTGCTACACTTTTTCTAATATTTCAGCCACTACGTAAGCACTGTTCAAGATCGTATATTACAAAAATGGAGTAAGGATTTTGAGCCTTTGGATTCGTATTCTTCGTAGACCATCCGACACCGCCATTTTTTTGTTATTGTTAATATAATTTGTTATTACATTCACGATTACCTACATTTTTGTTTTTTTTTTCACTATAATATTTTTCATTTTGAACCTATCTTATATAAACTCCAAGTACCTACAGTTAATTAGAATACAAAACGAGTTGATGTTTGTAATTAACTCGGAACTGGAAAGTCTTGGAGGTATTCCAAATCGTTAGTACCTTAGAAGTCATACAGGTTAATTATGTGAATTATATCCACCCCACGATAAATTATTGTAACACCATATTTTATTCGATAGCTCGAAGAATAAAGGGACTTGTGTATCTAAAGCTAAATAACTTACACATTCTGTTTTTCACAAATAATTATATACTTATAATGTTTATTTATCTAGATGTCATAAATAATAATAGTTGACTGTTTGGTTTCCACTCAAACTCTTAAGCAAGGGCTTGCACCTGAATTAACAGGAACCTGTAACACTACTATAAAAGTCCAAAAAAAAATCCGTCACATAAAAACTATTTTATTTTTAAAATACCATAATTTTCTGAAACTTAAAAAAGTTAACTCCGATTAAATAAGAACCGAGACATTTTTTAACATACAATTAATTTCACGAGATCGTCATTTTGTATGTATTTTTAGTGGTTAGAACCATTTTATAATCATGGCCATAGGAAATAATCGATCTTCGAGGTCAGTGGAGACATCTTAAAGACTATTTAATATTCATAATTATCACAACACATGGGCCGGTGTAAACCGGTTGTGTGGTGAGTGAATTTAAAAATAGCAGCAGTACCGAACAACAATGATCTAAAATCTAAATTGTAATTTCATAATAGTTGAATTGGTATTCTAAGAGACATCCTGATACATTATACTACGGTGTTTAAAACACTTGAATATATCCAAACCAGACGCCTGAATAAAGTATGGGTACATGCCCTGAGCCCAAACCTGTGAAAACGTGTGTACTTGATTACTTTATTTGAGAATCAACTCGAGCATAGTGGGGCGAAACTCAAATTTAAACTGGGATCAATAATTAAGTTTACCTTTTAAATGCCTAATTCCAAAGGAGAACCAATCGGAAAATCCTATTTATTTATCTATATATTAAGATGAAACGAGATTACTGTCAAGATAATGTTCAATGTTGCACCGGACACAATACGATTTGTATAGCTACGATTTGTAGATCACGCATGACACGGACTTACTCCTTTTGGGCGTCGGTGAACGCGTTCCTGTACAGGGCGCTGATGATGACGAACGCCACCATGAACAACAACAGTTCCCTGTAGAGTACCTGGTACAGACTACCCCTCCACAGGAACAATAGTTTGGTGAATCCCGCGCTGCTCGACGACGACACCTTGGACTGGTAGCTGACGGTCATCGTGGTCGAAGTCGGCGATATAGGACTTGGGGGCCCGCACTGCAGCTGATGATCAACGACGTCTCGGGCCGCATCCGCTCGCTAGGGAATGTCGGCACAAGGGGGATGATCGATGCCGACGATAACGGCGACTGGTTACAGGTTAGTTAACGCGGTATCACATAATAATATATTACGATGAGACGACGCGTAATATAATATTATATTGCATTTTACCGTCTCCGGCTCCGTCGTCGACGAGTCGTTTTCATTTTGGAACGTCGTCGTCGGCGGTAAATTATTATATTATTATTGTTGGCACAACGATCGACGCGGACGGCGGGATTTTTCTACTATTGATCGGTGCGAAATCCTATCGATCGTCTCGAAATATATCGCGTGTGGTCTGCGATTTGGCGACGACGTGTCAAGTGTTATACGACGACGACGATTCAACGCGGCGCGCGCGCGCTTTTGACTGACGCCGCCGGCCTGTACGCTGTTAGGTACAGCTGCAGGTACGCACATTACGCGGTCTAGGCGTATTTTTTTATTTAAATTTTTTTTTCGTTTTAGGTTTATACATTGTTTTAGCAGCCGCATAACACGCGCGGTCCCTCCTCCTCGGCGTTTTCCCGACGGAACGCGCACGCGTGCGACGGGCAAAAAAAAATGTTAGAGCCGAGAGACCTTCCGAAAGCAGAAAAAAAAATTTTCTAGATAAACAACGCAATCCTCGCCTAGCATTGTTTACACGCGCCTGTATATGGCTATATAATATGTATATAATATTCACGCCCGTAATCGGTAAACAGGGGGGGGGGGCCTATTGTTTCGACCCGTGCGTGAATAACACACATACCTATACTACTGCCTATTAGGTGCATAAAAAATAATATTTATATAATATTGTTATTGCTGAGATTAGGTCACAGTATTTTGCGCGTGTCGCGTAATGATTATAATATTATTATAATATAATGTATCGACGCGGGTTTTTTTTTTGAGCCCAATCATTTCGGGTATCTATATGTACGATATATTATGTTATATTATTATTGTCTGCTAGATTTGTTACCGTCATGTCGATTACTATCCATTTTTTTTTTCTCGTGGCACCTGGCGAAAGCGCTTCGTGCTTACATAATGTCGAAGACAATATTTATGTTGGATGTTTAGTAGATACGATAAGCGAAGAAAAACGACACTTGACTCTGAGAAAGTGCATTATAATAATGTTATAGGTAATATATTAATTGTTTTATGTTATTATTTTAAATAATATAATATTAGGTTCTCGGTAGACCACGTGACTTTATATTATGAGCTGTTATAGATGTTTGAGGACTTGGGGTGTATTATAATACAATAATATATGATGCAAGAGTTCAAGGCCGTCGCTAGAATATTATTCGAGGTGACCCGCCACCTCAGACCCTTTCACCCATCGAATACAAGAGTGGCGTTATCACGAAAAACTTTAGATATGATACGGCATTCTCGTATGGCGATAGTGTTCCGTGAATGTGAACATCGCTGCTACAGGTTATAAAAAAATACCGGAAATCGAAAGGACTTATCGAAGAGAGAATAAAACACTTATTCATTCGCTTTGATGAGTTTTAAAAGTACTCGATAAAGCTGAATTCTCTAGACAAAATATGTATGTACCTATAAATCGTATAAGTACGACTATAGATAAATATTTTGAAAATGTATAAAAATCGTTCGAAAATTACTTCATTAGCGTTGTCTGATAAAGAATCAACCGACCTAGTGCTTACAAACGAATAATTAAAAATAAAATAATAATGAAGATTAGTGATGATGGGTTGTGGATATCTGGCCGATGAAACATCTGTTAGTAGGTATACCTAATAAATTATAATAAATAAACTAATATCTATTGTCTTATAAAACTAAAAAGGGCTATTCAAAGAACGAGGGTTGTTGTATTCAACTGTTCCAAACATTACAGATAATATTGTTTAATCTCATCATTTTCATCGTTAAATAAAAAATACTAATTGCGTATTAATATAATATTATAATATTGTGTTTTTCATTTTAGTCAAATATAGAGAATAATACACATTCAATTATAATATATTAACAGTTTATTTCATTTATTTAACATTTTTTCCCCAATTAAAATTTTTCATGCCTTTTTAAATTGCTAAGAATAATAACATTAACATAAATGGTAAAAAGTAAAACTCACCGTTATAATTTTTCTATTTTTACGTGTAAATAACATTGGCGTAAATATTGTGTGGTTTCTATACAAAAAACTATGATCAACAACATAATCATAACGACATAAGATGATATCCAAATGCTAGTGATGGAGTGTGTAAATAATAAAGGCGAGGATATTATAGGATGGGATTCCATCATATGGATTTCGAAATAATAAACTTTTCTTTTAATTACAGTAAATTATGAAATGATATCTTTGTTGAACCATAAGTCGATAATCGAACTTATATATTTGATAATAATTATATTAATAATAATAATTACCTATTTATTTTATAGTTTGTTGAAAGAAGAAAATATAATTTATAGAACATTGAAATGTTTCTGTGAAATTATGTTGAACTTTCAAGTTGCTATAATGAAACCAAAGATACCGTGGCATGTTAATACCAAAAGGTGGATATACTGTAATTCCTGCATTGTATATCATTTAAAACTATCAATATGAACATTGACACCGTTCTTTTGGTATCCATTTCAAATACCACCACCATAACAGATAGGTACCTACTACAACCACGGCACCACACATATCGCACTGTCAGTACTCAGTGTTTGATTATTTTTAACAATATTAACATTGAATTATAAAAGTTTGTATATTCAATTATTATTGTTAAAAAATAATATTATTATTTTAAAATTATAATAATAATATCACTTTTTGTATTAAAATAAAAATAAGTAGCATCTGGCATCTCTCCTGTATCTTAGTTTCCATATTTTTAACAATATCAATTATTAACATTGAACTATAACAACTATTGTATATTAAAATATTATTATTGCAAAATAATACGTATTACAATTTTAAAAGTTTCATCTCTGTATGATACAAACTTTGTTCAATTCGTTTATTGAATATTCGGTGTATGATGTTCAATAATTAAAAAAATTTATCTTGAATCTTGAATCTCAAAATACTTTTGAAAGTATACCACTTTAATATGCGAATTTTGGAAAACGCTATCTTAGTGCACACTTACATGGTGGTACGAAGGTACCTACTGTGAAAATTGCAAGCCTCAAGCTACCATTATATAGAATCTACGTTGATCAGCTAGTGAGTCAGTCAGGTCACGTTCGATTATATTATATTATATACCTAGCCATCCTGCCCCCATGATTTGCCATTGAGATACACTTGTGATTATGGCCTATAGGAGCAGTTTATCTACAGGTAGGCAATCCACCTGTGGTGGATTGCAGACCCCACGAGGTACGTACAATAATAATATAATATAATATAATGTTTTATTAACACTTTGTTTATGATGTGCATGTATAGGTTCTCGGGACAACGGTCGACAAATTAGCCTCGGGAATACCATTTTTATTAAGGTTTTTACTAAGGTTATATAGTTTAGACCAAATATTATAATATAGGCACAGGTCTAAAATGATATTCAATCATAAACAATAGCAACCTTACAGTAAAAAAAGCGGGTAAGTGGATGTCGCTCTGCTGTACAGTAGGTTACAAGTAGGTCATTGCATAATGGATTGTATTAAACTTGAATTCAATGATATAATATAATTTTATAAGAAAAATGATTCTGAGCGAAGACGGTTCGTCAGTCTGGATATTTTATATTGTTGTTATTTATTATATCATGTAAGTCGAATTAATATTATAATATTATTTGTTTCTATGGTGATAAACAAAGCGTTATAAATTAAATTCCCATTTTTAGAGGTTTTTCGTAATTTTTCGGTGGTATTTCCAGTGGCATTATATATAATTATTGAGAAAATCGAAAGAATTCCTCTCTAAAGTACCACATTGATCCAATTTGCTAAAATATAAGGTACTATATTATGTTGAAATCGAAGCACTCCTTCTGGTAGAAATTTCGTATACAGGATATAAAAAAAAATAAAAAAATTAACACCACTGTAAAACCACAAGCTTCCTCTCTCCGCTCAGAATCTAAAAAATATATTATTATTTAGTTTATTATTTTTACTGGACAGCACTATCAGCAACAGCGCCACTTTTGTATTTTAGATTCTGAGAGGAGCTAGTGGTAATGGTTTTACAATTTTAGATTTTGAGCGGAGCGAGGAAGCTATTGATTTTACAATGATGTTCATTTTTTTTTTTTTTTATATCCTGTATACAAAATTTCTACCACAAAGAGTGCTTCGATTTCAACATATAGTACCTTATCTTTTAGCAAATAGGATCAATATGGTACTTTAGAGAGGTAGTTTTTCGATTTTCTCAATAGTTATATAATGCCACTGGAAATACCACCGAAAAATTACGAAAAACCTCTAAAAATGGGTATTTAATTTATAACGCTTTGTTTATCACCATAGAAACAAATAATATTATAATATTAATTCAACTTACATGATATGATAAATAATAAAAATATAAAATATCCAGACTGACAAACCGTCTTCGGTCAGAATCATTTTTCTTATAAAATTATATTATATCATTGAATTCAAGTTTAATACAATCCATTAAACAATGACCCACTTGTAACCTACTGTACAGCAGAGCGATATCCGCTTACCCGCTTTTTTTTTTATTATTATTATTATAATAGCTTAAAAACCCATGGCAACCATTTATAAATAAAAATTTCCATCGGAAATCTCAAAATTCCCGTTCGAGCACCTCCCGAGGTTGGTACTCACTCTTTCTTTTTTTTAATCTGTATACAAAAGTTCTACCAGAGTCCAGAAGGCGTTCTTCGATTTCAACTTATAGTACTTTATCTTTTAGCAAATCAGATCAAGATGGTACTTTA